GCAACTATGCACGTTGCCGTAACAAACAAATCACTTTCAGATCCGTCATGACGGACCTGGCAGATGGCCGAGGCCGTTTGACCGGCTAGCCTCACATTCCCTAGTCTGGGAGTACTATTTGGAAATAATTTCGCCGGGTGACAGGTTATACATAGACCTGAGGTGGCTAGTATATCTGATTGCAAGATCCGATAGCGTACGGATTCAGCTTCGATACCAAGCATTCTGTCAGCGAACATCTCCGCCGTGTTCTCCAGCTTGAGCTACTGTTAATAGAAATGGCCGTTTGGAAATGCGTCTGAATCAGTGGCTGCCACGTCCAAATTCATGCGGCGCCCCGAAACCGACCCGGCCGATCTACAAGAGATCCAGTTTGTCTGTTTCAGAATCTTGATGAGATGGGGCCCTTATCCCTGCACCGGCTGCCGGCCTGGGCTCTCGAGCATGTGTCTTGTTCGGGGAGATGGCCGTTAAATGATTCGATGGCCCTCGGTGGAGGAGACACGCACGCGCACCCGGACTCGAAGCTGGCTCTCACGGTGCAACCAGACGTGCGCACAGAAACCCCTACAGACACATACACATATACACACACACACACACAAGACAAACTCGCCCTGTGATGATGACGGACCGATGGACGGGTTGGCGACTCAATGATCGGCTTTCACAGCCTCCTTTGCAACTCTGCTCCGCACATGAGAGGCAGGGGCAAACCCTCATTGGGATGGAAACGTCAATCGCCAGTCCAGAAAGACAGTGGGGGATCCAGGACGACGTCTGTTTGTAACAACTACCGACGGATCGAAATTAAGTCGGCCTTCTCCACCACCAGCATTCCAAGACTCAACGCGGACCCAGCGGTGACGACAACGGTCGGGGTCAACAAGACGGAGGCACAGCTGTAGGCGGGAATATTTTCCAGGTTGGCAGACGCTGAATCTCAGACCGTGGCATCTTGTACCCAGCCCGAGTGCCGTTGCCCCTGCCGTCGAGTTCCCCTTGCATTCAATCTTCTTATCAATGAGCCTGCAAAAGTCTTTGTGCTAGCCTCGTCTTCGCCCTCGTGGGGGGCATGGGATGGGCACGAACGACGCATGGCAGGATGAGGCCAGGCAAGACAAGGCGACGCATGGCATGGCATGGCGGGCGAGTAGGAAATAAGAAAAGGCCAAGTTCAATCTCTCGAGCGACGATCACTGGCCCGAGAGGCGAGATGCAGACCAACCTCGCACCAACGCGGGAGACAGCGATATCCCTGTCCGCATCTTGATTGGCGACGCACGAGGTTGATGAAAATGAGCAGATGGAACATGGGTTTTTCGCAACCAAGGAGCTGAGAGCTCCAGTCCTCAAGTCTGACTCGTCCATCTACGAATGGGGTATTCGTGCAGATAGAGGCGATGAATTAGTAGTACATTCAATCACAGCCTCAGTTTTCAATTACGTTCCATTTGAGTTTCCTAACTACCTATACCCGCCGATATTGGCGTAGGCGTCGACGTGGAAGCTTTGACACAATGACGGCCGCCAACGCCAGGCCGCGTGCTGGACTCAGGAACGGCCGGGTCGTCAGGCCGAAACGATAGAGAAGCCGCGGTTGATTAGTCCAGCAAATTACAGCATAATGTTGGTGTGACTATCATGTACGGATAGAGGATTACGGCGTCGGTTGACTGGTTCGACACTCCAAGTTTGGTTTGCATCATCGATTCAATGGCCAGCTGCAGCGTGCCAACGAAGGTGGGATTGCGTTCAATCTCAGGAGATTGCACTAAGCAGGGTTCCGTTATCGAAGGCATTGGAACAATGGAACTCGCTTTGGGGCTCAATGACTCTCAAAAGGGCGTCTTCATGTCACCATGAGGGCTCTAGAGCACGCAAATCTACAAACAAAACAACCCGGACGATAGACAACATTAGGAACCCTCCTCCATCGGCCAGGCGCGCCTGGATATCAGGTCGACTCGGAGAGATGAGGATGGATGCGGCGACAAGTCGGTAGCCGGGACGGCAGCGGCAGCGGCAGCGGCAGCGGCGCCGGGCGCGGCGAACGACGTGCAGCTAATTATGAGGCACGGACGTACGCATTTCAAGGTACCTTAGTGGGATGTAATAGCTCCCAACAACCAAGTGTTGGAGAGTGTGGAAGTCTGTGTGAAATGACGGACAACAAGCTGCCATACTAGGAGATGAGGGCGAGAAGAAGGTCTGAATGAATGGCAATGCAGGTTAGAAGTGGATTTGACTCGACTCGGATTACGGATATCTTATGGGAAAGACAAATACCTGGCGCAGGCCGCGACCAATCCACTTCTGTACAGCTACCAGCATGTAATTAGTGGCAGGCCTTTTTTGGACGAGAAATACGCCGCTTGTTGCCAACGGCGAAGCGGTGACGAGTCGAAGATGGAGAGACGGCGGTCAAGCCAAGAAGGGGGATGAAGCAAGCATCAACAGACTACAGGTAACGGCAGTCTGCAGCAGTCAAAAACAGACGGGACAGCGGCATGTCGGATGGCAGGTGGGCGTAGGTTGACCTGATGGGACGGGCCAGTCCGGTCCCTTGTTTTTGCGGCGATGGCTATCCGTACACTTATCACTCCGTACCTACCTCACCTCAGGTAGCGTAGCAGCATCGCCCAGAGGCCTAGAGGTCAGTGTCCGACGGTAGGAGAGGCGGTCAAGAGGAGGGGAGGCATGCACAATGCCCCAATCATCTTGGCGGTCTGTCACTGTCAGATCAGGTCAGGATCGGGATGAAGGGTGGTGGATGCGGTGCGAGGGCATTTCAGGGTAAGGTACAGAGTATTGGGGACTTCATCAATCGGAATGACGAGCGGCTTTGAGCCAAAGAGCGTGGTGTGGTTCCGGGACTCGGACAGCGTACCTACCTACACCATGGTCCCTTGTTTGCCCTTATATCGACGCCGGGGACCAACTGTGGCCGTACGCGCTCTCAAGCTCTAGTGATGAGATTGTTGGCGACGTCGTGATGCAGGCATCCGGCTTGTGCGGCTTGTGGTTTTTTTCTTCTTCTTCTTCTTTTCTTCTTCTTTCTTTTTCAGAAGATGCGGTTGGTGTTGACCGAAGGTTCATTTACATGATGAAGGCGACGGTTGTTTCGTCGAGGGTTGATTGGGATGGTGAGCGAGGATGATGATGCGGAGGAGGAGGAGGAGGAGGACTGGGTTGGTGTCCCACGGGCCCCTCCCCTACTAGTGGTATGGGAACGGGTTGGCGGGTGTGTGTGCGTACGTGGTTGATGGATCATGGACCATGGATGATGATATGGACCATGGGGGGGGGAGGGAAAAACTGGGAATTTCGGGAACGTGTCCTCGAGTGCTTGGGGAAGCGAAGACGAAATGCCTCCACAGCTCTGTCCGGTTCCCAGTTCCCAGTTCCCAGTTTCCAAACAGACCAGACCAGACCAGACCAGACCAGACCACCGCAGACTTAAGTGGAGGGACCCGTCCCGTCGCGTTCTCAACCTCATCCCACCGTTCTTCTGATACCTATGGATCTGAGGTGTATGGATAACTCTCTTCGTTGTTGAGAGTTGAGTGGGCGTGTCCTGTTGTACGTGTCGTGTCGTGAGATGTCTCCTTCTCGTCTCAGCCATCGTCAGCCACTGCTCGTAAAGTGGTGAAGTGGTGTTGTGAGTTCTCAGTTGGCAACTGAGTCTTGCAGCTTTCTGTCTCTGGTCCCTTGCTGCCGTTGCCGCTGCCGCTTCGGGGTATGGATAGGTATTTCAAGTACCGCAGTACGGATATACATGCACCGTCATGGCTCATGGCTCATGGCTCATGGCTCATGGCTCATGGCATGTAACGTCCAGTGACGTTGGAGCCAATCAAAAGTGCCGCCTCAAATCTGTAACCGGTGGTGGGTCCTGTCCAGACTCCCTTTGTTCTCCCGCCGGCTGCCAATGCCAGTGCCAGCCAAAGCCAGTGCCAGTGCCAGTGCAAGTAATAAGGTACGAATAGTCAGTCCATTTGACATTCCATTCCATTGACACTGGACCACACCTCAAGCTTCTATTCAGACATCCACTGCTGTGGCTGTAACATTGGCACCCGTCGGCTACCTTGGTGCTTGCTTGCTTGCTTGCTTGCTTGCCATCTCACCTTCTGTACGGAGTAGGGATGCGGGATCCCTCGACCCCTTGCACGGCCGAAATTTCATTTCTGCAGTGCGGATAGGCTGCGGGAGGTGCTTCTTTCTTCTTCCCTCAAGGTGCCTGGAGTCCTGGACATTATGCCCTGTCGACCAACGTCCGCTACTGCAGCACACATGTGGCTCTTCTGCTCGGCTCGGCAGGGCAGGGATTGCAGCTTACCTACCTTACCAAGGTAGCATAGCATGTCCAAGGCCGTAATTGCAGTGCAGCAGGTCAGGTTATTCTCCGCGGTTTTGGGTTCGCCATGACCGGTGACGGTGACGACAACGACGACGAAGACAATGCCGATGAGGACATGTTTTCATGTTATAATCACGAATATCGTCCGTGGTCGCATTGTATTGTGGCGACCTAAGGCAGTTAGGTGCCTATCTAAGGTAATGTAAAAACGTACAACGCTGCATATTGTTATATCAGACACTGCCAAGATATTTCGAGATGCCTTCAATTAGCAGGACAGGAGCACCGCCGAATCCCAAGCAGATGCGGTATCTACCTTACCTAGGTACACATAAACACACCTACGGGTGCTTTTACCTACCTACCTCCTCTCCTACAGGTAGGCACCTCAAAGGTAGGTACCTAGGTAGGTAAGGTAGGTGAGGTAGCTCGAGAGAGAAAAACACAGGTGCATTCAAGCCAGGGCAGTCACCGCAGTCCAAAATTGCGCAGGTGTTCTGAAGATGAAGAGCAGCACCATCACCATATCAGAAGTGGGCCTCCAATTGCACTAAGGTAAGAGTACCTATCTGCTGCGTACCTTCTATCTCCCTTAAGGTAGGTAGATACCTGCCCAAGGTCAGCTAATACACACTTCCTGGACCTCACCTCTAAACATCTCAGGTACGGGCTTCTACAGTCTACGGCGGCTGCAGGTACCACTCCCGTCCTCATCATCGAGCTCGAGCAATTGCGACTAACCTCCAGCTACTTTAGGTAAGGTACGGATACATACCCGGCCTCACCCTCACCACACCTTAGGTACGTCGTACGGATACTGCGTAAGGTACAGCTTCGTACGGAGTAGTGCACAGTGCTCCGTGCCGGGGCACACAACCACCACCCGACCGCCGCGACCTCCAACACCTGTGAACCTCCCGTCCCGTCACCTCCAAAAGCCACTGACCAGGGGCCCCCGCCTTCCCCCCCTGTCCCGAGTAATAATTTTGGCCCCTCCATCACAGCAGTCAGTCCCCTTTTCTTTGGAACCAGACGAAACCCATATCTACAGCAACGGCCACGACTGCCACAGCGCGCGACTTCTTCTTTTTCCTTCCTTCTTTGCTGCCAACTCCCTCTCCTACTCTGACGATATACCCTCTACGCCGCCCTTTCGCGAGTTGTGCTGTCGCCAGATCCAAAAAGAGTCTTTCTTTACCGCGTCTTTTTTGCCAGCCACCAATACAATTGTATCATCATCATCATCACACATCCCCCACCAACATGGCTGATATGTGAGTATCTTTGCCCTTCCCCGCCTCGTCTGCCGGCTGGGCCTGGTTTTGCTTCCAAATCTCCCCCAAAGACACGGCATCATTCCAGACACGTCCAATGGGAGAATTCCACCTAACCAGTCTTCTTCTTCAGCAACGTTGACGTCTTGGTTATTGGCGCTGGCCCGACCGGTCTTGGTGCTGCGAAGCGCCTCAACCAGATCGTAAGTTCTCACCGCCAAATCCCCAACACCGACCCCTGTCCACTCAACTCTGTATACTAACCGCAAACCCGCAGAACGGCCCTTCTTGGTTGCTCGTTGACTCTGCCGACAAGGCTGGCGGTCTCGCTTCTACTGATGTCACCCCCGAGGGCTTCGTAAGTACATCTCATCTTCGCGAGAGCTTTGCTCGGCTTTGCCTCGACTTTGCGCTGACCGCAATCCGCAGCTCTACGACGTCGGTGGCCACGTTATCTTCTCCCACTACAAGTACTTCGACGACTGCATCGACGAGGCCCTCCCCAAGGAAGATGACTGGTTCACGCACGAGCGTGTTTCGTACGTCCGCTACAAGGGCCTCTGGGTCCCCTACCCCTTCCAGAACAACATCTCCATGTTGCCCAAGGAGGACCAGGTCAAGTGCATGAACGGTCTCATTGACGCCGCTCTCGAGTGCCGCGTCGCCAACACGAAGCCCAAGGACTTTGACGAGTGGATTCTCCGCAACTGCGGTGAGGGTGTTGCCGATATTTTCATGCGACCCTACAACTACAAGGTCTGGGCTGTTCCCACCACCAAGGTAAGACTACTCTGTCTCCCACGGCTTCCGGCGATGAAAATGCCCGATTCCCGCAGTCCGCTGACAGTGGCCTGTAGATGCAATGCCAATGGCTTGGAGAGCGTGTCGCTGCTCCCAACCTGAAGCTCGTCACCGAGAACGTCGTCCTCAACAAGGTTGCCGGAAACTGGGGCCCCAACAACGTCTTCCGCTTCCCCGCCCGCGACGGCACCGGTGGTATCTGGATTGCCGTCGCCAACACTTTGCCCCAGGAGAAGATCCGCCTCGGCGAGAAGGGCTCCGTTGAAAAGGTTGACGCCCAGGCCAAGGTTGTCACCCTCAAGGACGGTACCACCGTCAAGTACAACAAGCTTGTCTCCACCATGAACGTTGACCAGCTCGTTGAGAGAATGGGTAACCAGGAGCTTGTCTCCTTGTCCAAGGGTCTGTTCTACTCTTCCACCCACGTCATTGGCGTTGGTCTGCGCGGTGCTCGCCCTGACCGTATCGGCGACAAGTGCTGGTTGTACTTCCCTGAGAACAACTGCCCCTTCTACCGCGCCACCATCTTCTCCAACTACTCCCCCTACAACCAGCCCGAGGACAGCAAGAAGCTGCCCACGCTGTACCTGGCCAACGGCCAGAAGGCCGAGTCTTCCGAGGCCAAGGAGGGCCCCTACTGGTCCATCATGTTGGAGGTCTCCGAGTCTTCCATGAAGCCTGTCAACCGCGCCAAGCTTCTTGAGGAGTGCATTCAGGGTCTCATCAACACTGAGATGATCAAGCCCGAGGACGAGGTCGTCTCCACCTACCACCGCTGCTTCGACCACGGCTACCCAACTCCTTCGCTGGAGAGAGAGGGCGTTCTCAAGGACCTCCTCCCCAAGCTCCAGGACCTCGACATCTACTCCCGCGGCCGATTCGGCAGCTGGAGATACGAAGTCGGCAACCAGGACCACTCCTTTATGCTGGGAGTCGAGGCCGCCGACAACATCGCCAACGGCGCCGTCGAGCTTACACTCAACTACCCCGACTTCGTCAACAGCCGCCGCAACGAGGAGCGTCGTTTGGCTCAGTCGTTCAACTTCTCGTCCAAGCCCGCCGCCAACGGCACTGCTATCCCTTCACACAGCAAGTAAGGTTGGACCGCCATGGCAGAGGCACAGGGCATCGCGTTGGATTTTTCGTCTTTTAGCTGTAGAGCATTAGAAAGCATGACCATGACCAATGGGGGGAGGGGGTGGAAAGCTCAGAGGAAAAGGGAGCTTTGGCTAAGCATATAAGAATACCTGGGAGTTTTTACGTTGTTGAATTGGGGGGGAATCACTTTGCGCCATACCCACGATGTCGATGAATCGTGCGCAGCTGTAGGCGTAGGGTTGCTGGGCCCTGTCGAAAGGGATGCCCGTATAGAGTATAGATATTCTTGACATACATATCGATACCATCTAAAATGTTTGATTCATTCTGGCTTGCATGGTCGGGCAAGGGCCGGAAGCATAGTGTACCATAGATGGCGGCGTGGTCCCCCACCTCCCAACCAAACCCATCCCACGCCGCTAGGCATCTAGTACCTGAGACGTCGTTCCGAACTACAAGTCTCCGTACGTACCCAGGTAAGTCAAGATCCTGCGCGCAGTTTAACACATGTTATTATCCAAATGATTTGTGTGACTCGATCCCGGGATTTGTGAGACTTTACAGCATCAAACAACATGAAGTGGATGTGCAACATCAAGGCAGCTCGACACGACACGAGCAAGACCTAGGTTTAGGAAACCAACTCTGGGCGGATGCAACGCCAATTCTTGAAAATGTTGAACGGTGCCATGCTCATGGACAAACTGGCGGCAAGCTCGGACGAGGTCGCACTCGGCCGGTCAGCAACAATGGCGCAGTACATTGGTTGCCAATATCTGTAACCCCGCGGGTCAGAAAGAAACAAAGAAAGGCAGAAATCAAGCTGAAGGCAAATTCAAAGATGGGACGGGCGGGGGTACCGGCGTCGTCGTAGTCGTCGGTTTCTGTCGTCCAAGTTCCGCGATGTGTTTTGCTGCAGCGAGTGCAACACTTGAGTCGGGGGGATCCTCTCAATTTGCGAGAGCGACAGGATCTAGCTGGAACGGCCCGTGCAAGCGGCAGACTGAGGGCTGTGCGAGACGTGATGTTGGACCGCTGGCGAATGACATCATTTCCGTGATGCTGGTTTTCCTGATCGAAGCGCAGGACCCGACGCGGCGATTCAGTTCACGATGTTGGGCGGGACGAAGTTTTTCCCGGGGGTTGGCCCGGGCTGCCTACCTACCTATATGACGGGAGTCACGACGGCTCTACACGATCAAGAGCGGCCTGGGATGCGGCGGGCAGGCGAAGCGCAGTCTTGAATAGTGGGCGGATGGCGACCTTATCTCGTTGCGTCTACGGATACTGTTCTCCTATTTCCTGTCTGTGCCTTGGGCTCTCGGAAGAAATGAATCTATCGCAGATAGAAGTCGCCTTAGGTAGCTACCTAGCGTACTTAGGGGCACGTCCAATGCCGATCGATGCGTGTTTAAGTGAGACCGAGTGAGACATGACCGGTGCCTCGGGGCTGCCCTAGGCAGAAACAGGCGGTCAACATCACCGGTCAAAGCCCAGGTTCCCTAGAAACAGTCGGAACCTGGGCCGATGAAAACAGGAACAAAGGCGCTGGTTATGTTTGGTGGTTTGGAATCGTCTAGCAGGAGAACGAGGGTTGAGGACGGAATAAGACGAGACCTGATTATGAGACAAGAACAGAACAGCAGTAAGCTCGGCCACCCGTCACGCCCTAACGCCTCGAAGAAGCAGAGAAGCTACTGAGGTCAGGTGCGTAAGCAAAGCGCATTTATGCGCCATGCAACCAATATTCTGACCCAATACCTGGATGCAATCATGTTGCTACCTCACCGTGCTGTATGTATTACATGCATTAAAGCCCGCCACGCCTGCCCAACACAAACCACAGTCTGATATTGACAATGGGAGGTTGGAGATGATGAATTCCACCTCCCCGCTCCCATGTGAAATCTTTGTCGCCTCAGACCCGATTAGACGCAGGATGTGTTGATCCAAGAGGCTCGCCCCTCCCCGTCGGAGAGCTCTGCTGATTGAGGCCATCCTGTGCCTGTCAATCATTACCGTTTCGTTGCTTGCCAACCCATTCAAAGTGCAGTTTTGCAGATGTTGTGCTGGGAAACCGTCTGGTTGTCATCCCCAGAAGACATTGTATTTCTCCTACGTATCCGTACCTTTTCCACCGGCGTGGGTCTGTTTCGGCTTTGGAGAGACTGTACTTACCTAGTAATAGGCCCTGGATCAATAAGGTATTCTAGGATAAGACACGTGGGTAACTGTTTGTCACTTTCGCCTTGGCCGGTACTGATATAAGAGAAAAAGCATGATTTTGCGCGTGATACGCTCCAAAGGTAAGGTAAGCTTCGTAAGATACCATTCAACTTTGAATCGTCTTCTCCCCGACCCGTTGCCGTCGCCGTTGCGCACGTCAGTAAGGTAGCAAGTACAGTGAAATAGGTAGGTAAGGTGCCTACCTAAGGTAAGGTAGGTAGGTAGGTATGTAACTACGCACGACACCACCAACTGACCGCCTTAGGTACCTTGGGCAACATTGGGCTACCTTACCTCTTACTACCGGGCAGGTAAGGTAAGGTAGGTAGGCACTGCACCTGCCGAACTTATGCCTATCACCGATTCACCTCCAGGCTTCAACCACTAGCTGCCCCTGGCCGTCCACCGCGCCGACGACAGCTGTACCTCCCGATCCGTCCAGTCGCCGACGACGCCGCCGACGCACTCAAACGCAGCCTCGCTCCCATTCCCGTCTTCCTGCCCGTTCACTCGGAGAACCTGTCGCCGTCAACGTCGTCCCGACCCTGTTCTCCAAGTAACGCCCACTCCCACCACTCGCCAAACGCAGAAAACGCAGTCGGCCGTTGCGGGACCTGTCCAGTGCCACTTGAGCTGAGCACCACCGCAATCACCACGCCGCGCCGCGCCGCGCCGCACAACCAACTACCTACCTACTCTCCCCGTCATACAATACCTGCTTCGGATCGCTTGCCGTCAAAACATGACATGACCTGCCGCGCCTAGGTGACGCCCTCGACGCCTTCGCTCGAACCCCCGAGATAATTACCTTTCGTCTGTATCGATCATCGAGACGACGACCTCATTGCCGACAACCAACTATCAGGGCCGAATCGCATCCTGAATTCTTCCCCCACCATCACCACCTGCGATACAACACACGGCCTCCAAGCTGCGGGCTTGCGCCTATGACCGGACTCAATGATGGACGGCACTGCTATCGTGTCGGATGACCACTTCGACCCTCCCTCGCGTCTCTTCGACCGTCTTCGCCAGATCGCTGGCTATACCTGGGACGAATCCCGTCTCCCGTTTCACACGTCCTACGACATCTGGTGCGTTCTGGTGTAACCCGCAACTCAAACATGCGCGAGGAGCCGCTCTGCTGTTGCCATCCCCTGTCTAACATGCGCTTCTCAGGCACGTCTGTGGCACTAGATTCGTGTCACCATATCAACCCTCATCCACCTCATCACACCCCGCCTCGAGTCCTGGATCGACCGCGAGACTACAGTCCGGCCGGCCGTCGCCCTCCGAACATGCGAGCTCCTCGAGCCTCCATGGCGGTCTCCCCAGCGATGCCAGCAGCGACTTCTCCGCCACTTCGCCTCCCGCGAACCCGGCCGGCGCCGCCGAGATATCCTATATAGAAGAACCCGTTGTCGCTCGCGTCTCATATCATGTGCTCCGCGAAGAGAGGGCCTTTCACATCGCAAAGAACCTGATCGCTACGGCGGATCCCAACGGACACCATATTGTCAAACCTCTCGATCTCATTCGTCTGGCGCCGCACCCAGGCGATCGTGGTTCCATCATTGTTGCTATCTACCAACACCCGGGTCAAAATAATCTGTTCGACCTGATCGACATGGGCCCGGCGTTTTACAAGGCCAAAAAGGTGGATGATAGATATGAGGCATACCGCAAAGACAATTTCCGACTGGATGCGCAGATTAACCTGCAAGATTTTCTTGACTTTGCCATTGGCGCAAGCCAGTGTCTAGAAATCCTCCACTACGGGCAGGTCATTACCCATGGAGAGATTAGGCCCGACTCTTTCCACTTTAATATCGAAACGAATTCGGTCAAGCTGATTAACTTCGGCACCGGAACGAGGTCTTTTGAGGGAGGCCTGTCCAGCACCTCATGGTCGAGTCTGTCAAAGGAAGTCGGCGCCAAGAACAAGCTTCTCTACATCAGTCCCGAGCAGACTGGACGCATGCCGGCTGAACCCGACAGCCGGACGGACATATACTCTTTGGGCGTCGTCTTCTGGACTTTGCTCACCCAGCAGCCTGTGTTTGAGGGCGAGACGCCTTTGGATATCGTCCAAGGCGTTCTGGGTCGACGAATTCCCAATGTGTCCCAGGTCCGACTCGACATACCTGACGTTATTGGGCGTATAATACAGAAATGCACCGCCAAAACCGTGGCCGACAGATACCACTCGGCAAGTGGTCTGAAGCATGACTTGTTGAAGGTGCAGCAATTCCTGACCGATGGCGACTGGTTGGCATTGAAGGAGTGGAAGATCGGTGAAAAGGACATTTCTTCCTTCTTCATCTTGCCTAGCATGATGATCGGACGTCAAAAAGAGAGAGCAGAAGTAATAAGAGTGATCGAACGAGTTGCAAAGAGTCACTCCATGAACCAAAAGTCGGCGAACAACCGTTTTTCAGACGGATCCCAGCTTTCGAACGAAATGCCAGACTGCGCGGATCTTTCGAGCGAGGGAGCCAGCTCGGCAGAAGGCACAACCCGGCGAAGCGGCTCCTTTACTCATACCACATCCTCGGATCCTAGGCAATCAAAGGCTAGCTTCGTACCCTCCATTTTGTCCGACACCCAGACCATATCTGGGGACACCATCGCCTCATCCAACTCCGGTCCGCTTGCCCGTATGACCAGGCCGTGGGAGAGGCATCAGTCTGTGTCCATAGAGACTCGGAGCCTTATCGACGGAATGGCAACCCCGACAGACAGCAACCGGCACAGCGCCGTTGAGTCAACTTCGTCCAGTCTGTCGCGTCAGCTTGGTTCTGCTAAATTTCGCAGGCGCGGTCACTGTGAGATCGTGTTGGTGGAGGGCGCCGGTGGTCTCGGCAAGAGTTGTCTGTACCAGTCTGTTCTCGCCGAAGCGAGACGGAGAGGATATTGTGCCACGGCGAAGTTCGATACGGCTCGCCGTACTGCTTTCGGGCCGCTGCTGAAGCTTTTGTCGTCGTTGTTCAAGCAGGTTTTTGGAGAGCGGAATACGGATACTCCCTTCCATCAAGCCCTGAAGCAGTACGTCCGACCTGTGTGGCCAACGCTGCATAAAGTCCTCGGATTGCCTGATTTCCTCATCGGCGCCCTCGATAATTCCCTGCCGCGATCGGCTTCCATTACACAAAGTGTGAGCCAGACGCGAAACGTCAGAGCGGGACTCAAGAGGCGCGGCTCTTCGCCAGGCAGTTCTCCCGGTCGCCTACCGAGGCCTTCCGTCATCTCTTCTCAGGCATCGCAGGACTTTCTGAGAGCTGGCGGCGCAACGAAAACAATGCGTTTAATGAACACTTTCCTTGACGTCTTGCGCATGTTCACCTCGCATAAATTTATTTGCTTTGTATTGGATGACCTGCACTTTGCGGACGACGAATCTCTGGAGCTGATTACTCAGATCATTGGGGCGAGGATGAAGATGGTTGTCATTATAACCTACCGCCCCGAAGAGTTATCTCCTGAGCGGGTCCAGTCCATCATTCAGCCTCCCGAGTCCGAAGGTCCGTCTTGTCAGATATTTTGGCATCCGCTGTTACTGACGTTTGGCAGAATTTCCCCGATCAGGTGGGCCTATTGTCACCCGCATCAGACTTGCTCCCCTAGGCGAAGAAGACATCATCCAGTACGTCTCAACAACGCTCTGCAGGCCAAAGGAAGAAGTCCTCCCGCTGGCCATCGTGATCCAGTCAAAAACAGCAGGAAACCCGTTCTATATGCGAGAAATGCTTAGTGCCTGCTACCGCAAGAAGTGCATATGGTACGACTACAGAGACAGCAATTGGCATTTCGATCTCGACAAGCTCTTCGACAATTTCCAAGGCGAGAGTGACTACGACATACTCGATACGGGCTTCATCACGAGGAGGCTCAACGAGCTGCCACCGTCTTCTCGAGCTATCCTCGCTTGGGCCGCCTTGTTGGGGTCATCTTTCTCCTTCGAACTCATCTCCAGACTCCTGAGCGGCGAGTTTCAGTACGAGGATGATGACGAAACGACATGTCAGGGACCAGGCAATGAACAGTACCACGCCTTTTACTCCTCGCAAGAAGCAGTTAGCGGGCTACAGGCCGCCGTCCAGGCCTACATAATCGTTCCTAGCGAGACGGACGATAGATTTCGCTTCGCCCATGACCGGTTCATCCAGGCATCTGCGGCATTGAAGGAGTGCAACGCGAGAAAGATGCATTTCGTCATCGCTCAAACCCTATTGAAATATTACTCTGCCGACCCAAGAGCGAAGGACAGTACTGCTTCACATATTTGCGAGTCTGTCGACATCATCAAGAAGCGCATTGCCCGGCGCGAGCCGTACCGAAAGCTTCTATTCGATTGTGCTCAATCGGCTGTGGAGAACTGTGCCAGACCAACGGCTTCCAAGTTTTACAGCACCGCAGTTGCACTGTTGCAATCAGATCCTTGGAACGATGAGCTCGAGGATGTGTCGTACGATGAGACCATGCAGCTGTATCTCCGAGCAGCGGAGTGCTATCTCTACATGGGTAATCATGGTGCAGCAAATGCCCTGCTTCAGACAGTTTTCAAGTGCGCTCGAAGCCCATTGGACAAAGCGCCCGCCTACGTCTTGCAATCGAGAACACTGGCACAGATCGGCAACGCCAAAGGGGCTTTGGCTGCACTGAAGGAGTGCTTGCATGCGCTGGATGTCGAGTTTGACGATGAGCCGACATTTGAAAAATGTGACGATCAGTTCGAGAAGATGTCTGTGAGGATTCAGACTATGGACCAAAATGAGCTCCTCAATCCAGCACCCTCGCTCGATCCTGGCCTGCCGTCTATCGGTGCTGTGCTGGCTGAGACTGTCAGCGCTGCCTGGTGGAGCGACTATCTTCGATTTTATCATCTTTCGCTGGTTATGCTAGACCTTCACCTCACTCATGGCGCGTTCCCACAATCAGGAATGGCATTCCTGCACCTTGGGATCATTGCTCTCGCCAGGTTCAACATGGTCAGCTTCGCGGTCGAAGTGGGCAACGTCTGCATCGAGCTGCTCGACCGATTTCGAGACCCATTCTCCATGGCAAGAGGTTACATGCTCTACGCCAACTTCATCGGCCACGTACAAATACCAGTCGCGGTTGCCTTGAACCACTTAGAAGGCTCGGTGGAATATGCTGCTGCTGCAGGTGACAGAATCTCGTCCATTCTCAGTTTCGGCTTGGCAGCGCAACTCAAGTTCTTTTCCAGCGAGAACTGCTCTGATCTGGAGGCCTTCTGCCAATATGGGTGCGAGGAGATACCGAACTGGCACCAAGACACTAGAGGCGGTACTCTTCTTATCTCAATCCGGCAAGCTTGCCGTGCTTTGCAGGGCAAGACTCGTACAACCGATGCCCTCGAGGTCATGACCGACGACCAACACAATTCGGCAAGCTACAAGGCTTGGCTGACAGCAAATACCCAAAACGGCAACCGGTCCATTCTGTGGTACGAGAGCATCGAGCTTGTCCCCCTGTTCATCTACGGCCACTATGACCGCGCTATTGAGATTGGGGAAGCATGCTATGAAAGTGTACAGAATCTATGGTCCGCGCGGAACAGCAGACTGGTCGTTTTCTTTTACGGCCTTGCTCTTGCGGGACGTATGCTCCGCAGAGTCCACGACCCTCGCCTAGACCCAAGCAGTCTCACCGAGGAAACTGAGCAAACCGTCTACAAGCTCCGGGAGTTGACGAAAAGAATCAAAGAGTGGGAGGTCTACACCGAAGTCAACTACCTTTCGTGGTCTAAAATTTTGGAGGCTCAAGTCGACGAGTTGACATGCGACTACGGAGGTGCCGTTAAGCTTTACGAAGAGGCCTTGGACAACGCTGAAGAGCACAACTACTTGTTTGAGGTGGCGCTCGCCAACACGCTGATGGCAGGCACCCTTGTCAGACGCAAAGCCAGGAGGCTGGCTCGCTCTGCGTTCAGGGATGCAATCGCGTTCTATCGACAGTTTGGTGCCGTGGCCGTGGCCGAGCGTTTGGAAGAGGAGCATGCGATTTTGCTCCACACTCCGTCAAGAAACCCAAGGACCACCGACGCAGCAGTGCAAACCGATTTTGCCGGAAATGACGGCACCGTTGACTACCGCGCCGTCGAGGGCGAGGACGGTCCCGATGGCCTGCAACAGGCCAACCAGACCGCCATTGCCGACATCAAGGGTGAGCGCCTCGGCGCGTGGCGCGGATCGATGCATGAACACAATGAACTTGGAGCAGGTCTGCCTGCCCTCGATATGATCGATTTGCACGCGATCCTGCTTTCTTCCCAAGTAATCTCGGGTGTCCTACGAGTCGACGAACTGCTCAAGACAATGTGCGACGTTATCTTACAGACCTGCGGCGGATCAGCAACGCTCGCGGCTATTGTCGTTCAGGACTCGGACGAGTCTGGCTGGTGTCTCGCGGCGAGCGGTGACCCAGAAAGAGGTGCGTCGGCGCATATTCCTGGACTGCCGCTCGCGGGCACATCTCTAGTCGCAGAAAACGTCATCCTGTACTGTACTCGTTTCCGCGAAGCCGTCTTCATTCCAGACATCATCAGCGATGAGCGCTTCGGCAACGTCAGCGAAGCTTGGCTGCAAAGGAATGTCCTGAGTAAAGCCATCATTGCCATCCCCATATGCCACGGCTCCAAACCGCTACTTGGGGTGCTGTACTTGGAAGGCGAGCCGGGCTCGTTCACCGACCGCAACGTGTCTGTCCTCCAGCTCCTAGTCAATCAAATCGGCATCAGTTACTCCAACGCCCTGGCAATGAAAGCCGTTGAAAAGGTTTCGGCTGAGAACGTCTCCATGGTCGCTCTTCAGAAGCGGGCTCTCGCCAAGGCGCTGGAAGCAGAGACCAAAGCCAAACATGCCGAGGCCGAAGCCAAGCGCAACGTCAAGCTCGCTGAGGAAGCTGCCAAGGCCAAATCGATATTCCTGGCCAATGTCTCCCACGAGCTGCGGACGCCCCTCAACGGCGTCATCGGCAATTCGGAGCTGCTCAGAGACAGCGACTTGGACAAGGATCAGCAAGAAATGGCCGATTCGATAAGGGTGTCGGCCGAGTTGCTGTTGACCGTCATCAACGATATCCTTGACTTCTCTAGAATGGAGGCCGATAAGATGAAGCTATACGTCATTGCGTTCAACCCAGAAGAAATGGTTCGGGAAGTTGTTCGCGCCGTTTCGTATAGCAACAGGCAAAAGACGCACCAGAGGAACGTCAAGATCATTCAAGACATCAATTTGCCGCCAATGCTCATCTACGGAGACCCCATCAGACTGCATCAGGTTCTCGGCAATCTCATCGGCAACAGCTTGAAATTCACCGAAGACGGCTCGATTACAATTGGGGCCCGTGTCGATTCAGAGACCCACGACAAAGCGACGTTGATTTTCAGAGTTCAAGACACCGGTATCGGCATTCCTGAGCAACAGCTCGTCAAACTCTTCCAACCATTTAGTCAGGCCGATAATAGCACGGCACGTAAGTATGGTGGCAGCGGTCTAGGTCTGAGTATCTGCAAGTCCTTGATCGAGACAATGATGAAGGGTAAGATTCGGCTTGAAAGTCAAGAAGGTGTAGGGACCACGGCTTGGTTCGCCGTCACCTTTGACAAGGCCAAGTCAGACGTATCTGCGGGAGACGCACAGCAGGTCAAGAGCCCGCCCGCTGTCGAGCGTTCGGCACTACCAATCTCGGAGCGCCGAATCTCATCTCCTAATCCATTCCTGGATCTTACAGCCATTCCCAAGGATCAAATCAGGATCTGTATTGCAGAAGACAACCCTATCAACCAAAAGATCGCCATCCAATACGCACAACGGCTAGGATACGTTACGGTAGATGCGTTCGAGAACGGGCTGAAGGCCGTGGAGGGTTTGCGGCAAAAGGCTAAGGAAGGTCGCCCATATCACGTGGTTCTCATGGACGTACAGATGCCGGTGCTTGACGGTTACGAGGCGACGAAGATGATCCGCAAAGATTCCATCGACGCGGTACGGAAGGTTCTGGTCATTGCCATGACAGCGTCCGCTATTCAGGGGGATCGAGAGAAGTGCCTGGCGGCCGGTATGAACGACTACCTGGCAAAACCCGTTCGGTCGGAGGTGCTGAGGAAGAAATTGGACACCTACGTCAGCCCTCAACTTTCCGTAAGTAAGCCATACTTCAGGCGTTGAGTTTGCAAAGCTAATCGAGCATCAGAACGCATCTTCCCCTGATGGGGTTCGCACCAACGTCCCGTCCCCGTCTTACTTCACGACGGACCTCAACGGAGCCGCAGCCAACTTCGCCCTACCAATCAGGGACAATCCGGCTTTCAGCCGCCCAACAGGTAGCAGCACGGCACCCAGTCAATTATCCAGCGGTACCAAATCTACCACGGACATGGGCTCACTTTCTGAGACGCAGTCACAGGCAGCCTTGCAAAAGAGGGCATCCCGGAAGCTCACCAAGACGCGAAATAGCGAGACAATACCAGAAAAACCACGATCCGTTCTTACCAAAAAGCCTCCTCAGCGCCAGGGTACGGGATCGTCGATGGACAGCGAATTGAGACCGGACAACCAATCGTTCACAAATAGCCGAAACAGCGTGAGCTCCCAGGGATCTGGCAGCAGGGACAGAACGTTTCCCATCTAGGAATGAGAGAAGGTGATGGCTTGAAAAGGGATCAGTTGGGCCCAGGACCGAAACCTCCCAGCATGGATTTCGAAGACCATATTACCGCAAAGGGAGAGGCGGGCGAGTCACGGCTGTTCTTTTCACAACTGAGGTAGACAGTAGAAGAGGCGGGTTTGATGATGATGCAGATCGAAGGGGCACGTCACGACACTGTGTCGGCATCCTTCCTGTTTTGATAGGACAAACCCTATATTGTCATGAATGTCATGTTCAACATTTTGTTTGTTTCTTTCGTTTCGCCTTTTTCATTTGGGACTAGGGTATTTCGCGGCGGCGGGAACACAAGCCACAGCGTTCGAGGGACACATGGCTGTACTTGACGCAACTGGAATGTGGGTTCGTTCGTCTTCTGTACAACGACAAGCATTATGACGACCCAAACCATTTGTGTTCACGAAATGTTTGAACAGCACTGTCTCGGCGATTTTGAAGGCCCCAATGGCTTCCCTCCCTCCACCACTTGACTGGCCTCTCTCCCTGCTTATGCGCATCTCTTCGTTTCACGCCAACCTCGTGTCTCTTGGGCCGACGCTTGTACAATTGCTAGATGTAGATATTGCGACCTGCTCTGCTGATGATCTCCGTTGCGACTCTGGCGCACCAATATACCTCGTCCACCGACGTTCGCCGAGCGTCACGATCAGCTCACATGCGCTCGTGCTACTAGGAGATGCGGGTCCCGTCGCCATATGTTGTTGGTATGATCTTTTTTGTCTCTGAATGTCTTAGACAACCACCACCGTCGCCAACGTTGAACACGGGCCAAAACCAACATCCAAATCAGAAAGGGCGATTTCGCCCCCAAAGTCTCGACCAGACTGCGAAGGCATCATAATCAGCCCATACCAGTTTACTCGAGCAAGTCCTTCTGACTTACGAGAGCGAGACCCAACTCTGGATCATAATTTCGCAGGTAATCATTACCTCAACTAATGTCAAGAGTGAACCCATGGTCGGAACGGGTACACGGTCAGGGAGTCTGGGTGCTTGCACCAGCCTCAGCTCACCCTCATTTCGACGTGTACATAGCACCCTCGTGAGGGCTTGTGCTGACTCGTTGAGTCTATCAAAAAGCCCGTGGATGTGTACGTTGGTCACTGGAACACGGTTTTCCACCTCTTGATTCGTGTCATTGTGCTCGGTCGCGCAAATCACGTCAACCCACAAAAGGACTTGAAGCCCGACACCAGAGGGGGAAAAGGAGATAAAACCCCTTAAACGGCTAACACGACATCAAACGATACGAGTCTGATCCATCTCTTACGTAGCACATCTCTCTGTGTTGATGACGATGAGCACCTCGACCCTCCCTCCCTCATCTACCCAAGAATCCTCCGAAATGCTCCTTATCAAACGAAGACAGTTGTCTATCCTAACCCTAGCTTACTTTCCCGGCAACTTCCCACCCAGCGGAGAATCACTCACCGTTGCCTTTGATTGCCCCAGAGATTGCGCTCATGGAGAACGACCTGATTAAGTGTGGCACAGCAAGGTGATCCCCATTTGGTATCGCAGAGGAGGATGGAGAAGACAGAAAGCCTTACTCGCAAAACACAAGTCAGCTTGGAAGAGAGGTGGGGAGGAAAGAAAAGAAATCTGGTGGATAAAAGAGGGAGAAGTTCTGCCTCGCCGTTGATGACGGCCGGCGGGCGATGGTCAAACTCTGTTTTACTTTTTCTCTGTATTTGAATTATTTGATGTTAATCATCCGTGGAAAATTTCTTTTCTTATACTTTACGCGGTGGTATGTCGGGTTGATGTGAGACTCCGTGAATTCTGTTCTAACCTTTCACTGTCATTATTGTCATCATCATCGTCGTCGTCGTCGTCACCATCATTATCGATTATCTTGGGCATCACTGACGGCAAATTCCATTCTCTCGGATTCCTGCTCAGATATCTCCACTCGATATTGTTGGAGAGTTCTCGTCCCATCTCAATGTCACATTCTGGCAATTCAAGCAACCCTTCTCCACAAGGCAGAAAACTCTATCCATTTCATGCTTTACTACGGTAGTATGTTCTGTTTCTGCTTAGCTGCGGCCATCTCAGTTATGCAGCAGCTCACAGATCACAGGATCATCCCATGTTGGACGGACCTTTCTCAGAGTTCACAACCACCCCTCCTTGGCCGTGGCTCCCTTCCCCTCCCTCCCCATCCGACCTGTATCCTGCCTGATGCTCCCCAAGCGTTGCCCAGATCTCGCCATCGCCCGACGATCAAGGAGTTATGCGTCTCAACCATGGTATGCATTGACGTCCTTCATCTTTGAGGGTTTAGGCTACCTATTTTCCACAGTGAGACGAGCGAGAGAGAGAGAGGGGGGCGGGATCTGGCGCAGATGATGGTGTGGAGATGGCGGACTGGGAGTTCCATGGCAGTCTGGATCCCAAACGGCGAATCCCCCACACTTCACATCACTCCCATCTCCAGCCCAGGCGAGAATGTCCGGGTAGTGGATGCGATGCCGAGTTTGCGGATGCTGAAATCTGACGAGAACGCCCACGTTTGGGCCCTTGGACATTGCCATCTCGGCCCTCCGGGGGGGCCTGACGATGGTGGGCTCTGGTTTTCCTTCTGGGCTCCTTCTACTTGCTTCTGTTGAGTATTGGAGGACAGACAATGTCTACGAGGACCTGACATATTACTACTCATCTCCCTTGCGGTGGGGGGCCAGGCTCTGATGTTCCGGCCGTTTCGAGAGAGCGTCCCTCTTGGCGTTGCTGTTCGGGAGACGGGCGCCCTGGTTCTTCTTCCGTTTTTAATTATTCTTCTCGTCTCCGCCTGTCATTCCTCATCTGGCTTTGCCCAGGGCAAATTCAACCTCGCTCGATTATGGGGAGCCGCGAACACTGATTCTGCCTTCCCCCATCTCCGATTCCACCCTAGCCCCTGTATGTGACGCTACACCCTCTTTGACCTGCTCTTCCTCTTCTTGCTTCTCCCGACATGCTCCCCATCCTCTTTCCATCCCTTCTTCGATAACGAAATTGGATTGTTGTCAGCTCGCTCTCACTTAAGAGTAGGGTGTCATCGAGAGGGCCAGTGGACGCGGCAGAGATGACCCGGCAAGACGGGAGGCAAACATTGTTTCGCTTTTGGTGGTTAAACCTCCGATGGGCTTGCTCATCCTTTCTCGCGGCAAGGGTATGTAGGGATGACGGCCCAATAGTATATGTACTCGTACGCGTCGGACAAGAGCTTTGAGGAGGGGCCCCGGTCAGCGACCTGGCGCCGTTCCCGGTTCCGTGGCCGGTTGGCTCTGGATTCTTGACGTCCTCTTGTTTTTATCCCGCACTTTCTGGATGCGGCATCCAGAAAAAGTACTTTTGCGGAGTCGAAATCGGTCGACTACAATACACGTTGAGATGCAACCGCTAAGATCATTGCCATATCGGGCTCTTGAGTGGGAGGAAAAGGCCTCGCCTCGCCGGGGAACGTCCGCTTGGCGAGTGTGTCGAGCGGAGCTATGTCTACAGGCCCTACCGTTGTCTCGGTAGGGCGCTGATGCCCCGGTCCTTCCATTGTCTCGTAGTCTTCAGGTTTGACCTTTCCCGTACCTGTCCTGCTTATTGCCTTCAGATGACATTCTGCGCTGGCCGCGAACCGAGCCCTGCGGAAGGTCTATCGTATCGACTGGGTAGTTTGCCACGTAGGTCGGGATACCAGGCCCGCAAGATTACGACCAACTGGTGTTGAGTTTTGCCGTCGAAGACGAGATGAAACTCTATAAAGAAGGACTGTGGGCATTGCAAATTGGGTGGCCCCGAGTTGCCGTCCAGCCCGCATCTGCCAGGAACACTTGCATATTGTCTCCTTGCTCGTGCGTCCACCCCACTTCACGACAAAATGAGGTTATAGGCGAACTTGGAAGATCAGGCCTGGGCCCGGCCTGTGGACACTCGTCTAACTATCCTGGCAACCCGCGAGAGACGGCCGGGACAGGGAATCGCCATGGCATGCGGGACAATCCCCCCCTCCGAGGATCCGAGGCGTGGCACAGTAGCATCTATCGCAACCCTCATTTATCTTCGACACAAGCCTTATAAGCATCGTCAAGATGCTGTACACGAAGACGACGAGGTGGTGCCAGCCATGTCGAGATGGGACAGGAGGGGAGCGGGACGTCATGGCCCAAGGCTGGCCGGAGCGTCAACTTGTCGCTGGCGAATCCCTACTATGCCTACCAGTCTGGTGTCGTCGAGTTGAGCAAAAAAGGAGACGAGATGAGATGAGATGGACTATTCGTAGGTACGCGTGCGTACGTACCTTGGATGGACGAGCACTCACTCACGGGCATGTGGATTGCCTTTCCCCACCTAATAAACTTGTGACAAACGCTGGCATGTCCAATGCCGCAATCAGTCGAGCTTTGAAGTCCCCGGCTGCTCCTGTCGAAACTCTGATCCAATGAGCATAGCAACCGACGAAGGACCCTGGTCAGACGGCACATTAGTCTTCTGGAGAGCGGGAGAGGGGAAGAAGGGGGGAGGGATAAGCTGGCCTTCAATTTGCCCTCCAATTTCTCAATGAGGTCCGTAGCTAAGACAACATGTGACGACTTTTCATGCCCGCTCAACCGCTCAACGGCCATGACGATGAGTGATTCCGTTATTTCCCAACGGCCCAGGAGTTCATTGCGGGCTAACGTCGATCTGGAGACAAGTTGCGAAAGCTTCCTCAGTCCCCCACCCTGAGATGAGAATCCGGCTTCGAAATGGCCGTGGAGAAAGATGTGCATACCAGCCAGGCTGGTCGTGGCCGGCTGGTTCACAGCTACACGCCTCCCGAGTGCTGATCTCCTGCGGCGGACAGAAGCGAGCCACTGTGGCGTTTTCGTTGAAGTCATAATGGCCCGAGGATGAGGTGCGACATCCAGCGATGGAGGGCCGAGGCTACCTTACCTGTCCCGTACATACCTTAGGTAGTATGCACAACTGACCGCAGGGCAGGGCAC